GAAGAGAGAGACAGATAGAGAGCACCTCCGATCCCGGTTCCCCCAGCTGCTGCATTGCGAGATCTTGTTTGCATCCTGAATCCTGATGGAGGTGGAGTCGGCCAAGTGCGAGTGCTGCGGCCTGCGCGAGGACTGCACCGGGGAGTACATCGCCGCCGTCAAGGCGGGCTTCGGCGGCCGCTGGCTCTGCGGGCTCTGCTCCGAGGCGGTGCGCGACGAGGTGGCCGCCAAGAAGCGGGGCGACCTGGAGGGCGCACTCAGGGACCACATGTCCTTCTGCGCCAAGTTCGGCAAGAAGGGACCCGCGTTCCGCGTCGCCGACGGCATGCGCCAGATGCTGCGCAGGCGGTCAAGCGTCATCTCCGCCGCCGCCGCAGCCTCCTCCGCCGCCTCATGAGTCATGATTGATACATAGAGGAGCGAGGAAGCTGATTGAAGCCAGTGGGCGATCGATATCTGCAGTAATGGCAAAGCAAAGCTTAGCTTCTGCTAGCTGCTAGTTGCATTCATGCGCAGCGCCGGTGATCCTTGACCATCCTAGGATCGGTTGCGTAGTTTAATCTTGCATTGTCACTGTACTAGCTAGTTGCAGGTCAGTGGCATTCAATCACACTTGGTTCATCGTCACTTCTACCGACAGGACGATGTAGAGGCGTGCCAGCCAAGTGAAGCCTTACTTCTTAGGCCTAGAAGAAGGCGGATTCGTTCCATCTTGAGCTAGCTTGCGTTCAAGTTTTGGTACAAGGAGAGCTTGTACAACTTGAACCGCAATCGCAATGTATCATTAATCCCTTCGTCATATCATGAATTGAATTTATTTTTTCTCTGCATTAAAATTGCTATTCACACATTGGTTGCGTCTTCTGCCCCTTCATCATCACAATGAAGAATCTCTCATTTCAGAAGAGTATTAAACCCCCAAAAAAGAACCAATGACATTATCCCTATCACTATTCTTCATTTCTGAATTTCTATATGCATGTTCACAAGGAATCAAGGAACCAAGAATGAGATGAACACAAACGAAAAGAGTTTCCAATCGACTTTCAGGCAACACAATTCAGTCAGTTACAGCTTTTCAAGCTACATTCTTGTGTTGTGAGCTGCTCTCTCGCACGGACAAATGGATCTACCTCCGGAGGAGATTAATGTCTTGACAGCCAAAAAAAATGTCCTTAAAACAACAGAAAGACGTCATGTACACTTCAGATTTGGATCAACTGTTATACGTAGATTCCTACTACTCACTAGCATGGAGTACTACGTCCTGTCCTGTCTAGCTAGCATCAACAGTCACGGTTGTGCTGATCATAATTGTGTTTCCGCTGGGCATGCAAGGCCCAACGGCAATCGTGAAGATGAAGATGCTCGCTCCAAATCAGCAAAAGTGCAAGAACATACAAAAGAAAACTGTGGCAAGGGAAAGAGAGATGCTGACTAGGACACCATCAGGTGTGCGATAACCTGGCACCGTACCAGTTACCGTGCGCTCGTAAACGATTGCCAAAGAAGAAATGTTTTAACACCATGAGAAGATAAATAATCCGCGATACGGCCTCCCGAACAGGCTATAACCCATGAGAAGGAGGCGTGCTAAATCATTGCCATCCTGTGGAACAATTGGATAATCTGTCGCTCAGCTTGCTTTAATTTGTGCAAGATTCTCCCATTGATCATATTCATATGCGAGGCACTAGGATGGAGCCAAGAGGCTGACTCATTTCCACGTAGGTCCTGCATTGCATCGTCTCATGTGCTAAATTCTGACGACCCATACTGTAGAATGCATGGCTGACATAGATTCGTCAAGACATCTGTGAATGCTTTGTTGGATGCAATGATGAAGGCTCATCCTGGTACTGACATGCATGGTACCAAAATTATTCCAGATCCATATGGAACAGTGTCAGTACTCGATCGGTACCACAGCAGTAATCACTCATTGCACAGATACGTTTGCTCTTTGCGTGGCCGTATGTAGGCTGTAAAACTCCTTCAACTCCTTTGGGAAGCCTGTGTTTTACCACAACGAAGCCGCGTTACTACATGACACCGGTGTGTTGTGACTTTGACCATACTCCAGCGCGTCCTTCAGTTTTATGTAATCATGCTGCCAATTCAGCTTGTTCGGTTGGCTGATTTCTGCTGGTTTGTGAAAAAGTATTGCTGACTGGTTTGAGTGAGAGAAAAACACTGTTTCGGTTGAAAATTTATGATCATTTACGACAAGCCACAGCCAAACGAACAGGCTCACACGACCTGAGTTTTGACAGCAGCTATCAATGGGTTTAGCACACGAGCTGAGCTAAGCCACAAGGGAATGGCATATAGATGGCCATGCAGCCCGAGGGACGACGGCACGGCACGAAGCCCGCTTTTTTGGCCCGACACGAGCACGGCCCGACCCGGTGACATGCTGGGCCCCGGTCGGGCTACGGAGGAGAGAGCCGTGGCTGGGCATTGCTTGGGCCGTGTGGTGCTGCATGCAAGCCTGTGTCACCCGGCCTGAGAGCTGCCCCCATGACCACCCTCCCCTCCTCACTCCACTTCCCTCCCCATGCCTGGCCCATTGGTGCCCACAATCCCCAACCCTAAGTCCCCACCCTCCTCTCCGGCTCTCCCCACGCGCCACACCCTCCTCTCCCCACGCCTGTCACAAGACCTTTTGCACCCACCCCCCTCCTCCCCCCCGCCTGCGACAAGCCACCCGCACCAAGACCCTCCTCTCCCCATGCCGCCAAGCACCCAGACCCCCTCCTCCTCGCCAAGACAAGCTCGAGCTCGCCGCCGCACACCGACGCCTCGAGCTCCTGCTTCCCCGCGGCTCGCCAAATCCCTCCTTCCCCTTCTCTTCTCGTGGGATCCAACGTCGAGCGCCGCCATCACCTCCCGTAGTCCCGCCTCACATTGCATGGAACGAAGCTTGGCCAGCCCCAAGCTCGCCGACGCCAGATCCGGCCATGAGCTCTGCCCCGACGCCATCTCCACTCCAACCCGCCTCTGCCGACGGTGGCCACCTCCTCCTCACCGCCACGCACTGCTGCTCCTCCACATGCCTCCTCTGCGCGGATCCGGCCTCATTCTCCGCGGATCCGGCCTCCTCATCGCTCATCCTCCGCGGATCCGGCCGCCTCATCGCTCATCCTCCGCGAATGGAGAGGTCGCGTCGTCCATGGCCTTCCGAAGCAACGACGACAGCCTGGCGCCCTAGCCTCCCCCCCCCCCCCCCACACTCTCCCTCTCTCTATCGGTGTAGTGGGCCTCGGGCCGACCCGACACGCTGGATTAGCCATGCTTCTCGAGCCGGCCCGACACGAAAAATGGCCCAGCAGGCCGTGCCTAGGCCATCAGCCAGGCATGAAGCCCATGGCAGCACGGCCCACGGGCACGTCGTGCCTTGTCGGCCCGACCCCCATCGGGCCGTGCCGGCCCGTTGGACATCTATAGAATGGCACAACTAAACGCGTCAACGCAATTGACTACTACAATCTGTATTACACATCAGCAACATTCGGTCAAGGAACAATCACTCGCTTTTAGTATGTGATGATGCGATTGACCATCCAGCCACAACTGAAAAACCGCCTCATGAAATGAAGAGACAAAATTATGCCAAAGAACTAGTAACCAAAATAAACCTCAACACGAGACTGACATGAGATGGCGAGTTTCCAGTTCTGAATATAGGTCCCTGAACCATGATAAGCTCAGCGGATGGTAAAACAAAATATTGGCTCTAAAGCAACATAGTTTCTAGTTTTAACATCATTAACTAGTTCACAGCATAGAACCATTATCACATTAAACTGACACAACATAATATCATCTGCTGATAACACCAGAACACAAGATAACTAACCAAACTTCGCATTTCAGACAACTAATAGTCTACATCCAGAAGTTCGGATACTGCTGCTTCACTGCTAGTGCTAAAACTACAGGGCTACAAAAGCATATAACACCAGCAGGAGCTTGGGCATTATATAACTACAGAACAGGCAGAACATTGCGCTACACAACCAAACCTGCATCAAGACAGATCAAACATCAGTATCCAATGTTGGAACCAGCATTCACTCAAACAGCTGCAAAAATATAAGCAAATAGTTACCTCATCAGGGTTTGTATGCGTGCAGGGCTCCAGAATCTGACTCTATCAGGATCTTTCGACGCTTGAAGAAAATCAGAACCCTAAATATGGTTTGTGAACTTGGAAGTGGGAATGAATGAGCATGCTAACTGACTAAGGGCACTAGATGCAATGCAGGGGCACTAGATGAACATAAATGCATGGAGATGCAACAGATATATGGTATATGCCAGATATGCAACAAAGGGGCTGGATGGGGAAGTTAGTATTGGAACAAGAGGAAGAGAACAGAATTTCTCCCATCTTCCACTCAGCTTCTTCCTTACCAAAAACCAGAAGAGCTGGTGAGGAGATAATGGTGTTCTTTGCAGAGCACCAGGAAGCAAGGATATCTAGAGCCAGTTGGCTAGACAACAGAAGGAAATAAGTATGCAAGGATATGCAGGATGCAGGTACCCTACAAATATTTGACATCTGGTTTGGGGTTAGGACGAATGTCATTCTACCATATATGAACCAACTGCAGCAGAAAATGAGGCGGCTGCTATGGCAGTGGCACCGTCAGTTCAGAACAGGTATTATGGATGCAAATGATGCTGTTTTAAGAGGTTTAAACCCTACACCTAAGAGATGAAGGAAGCATATAGGTGAATACTATCAACTGCCCTGCACCCCATCCTCAACCCAGAGCGCCCACCTTCATAACACCTAACAGGGCAGTATCAATTTCAACTGTCTAAGCTTCTGAAGTAGCTTCACCTACAAGCTACACCTCCACCATGATCCTAACCATATCTTACAACCACCAAGTATCTATCATCATTACCCTATACACTACCAATGCAAGTAGAAAGCTGTCAGTGAAAGATAACCTATGTACACAAGAACCACCCTTCCATCCTCCCATTATTCAATGATCAGTGATATCCAACTGGAGAATCCTCCTCAGATTCTCCGTTGCTATAGCACTAGCAATTGCATCATCATTGAAGAAGTCATACCCTGATCCCTCAACCGGGGATGAAGGTGCTGATTTAGCATGCAGTCTGACCTCCACATCATCAGAGCGCTCAACTGGTGGCAGCTCGAGAGAGATGCTGCGTTTCCGGCGGAGGGAGAATTTGGGGATGGGAAGCGAACTGGGTGGTGGTGAGTTGGAGAATGCTGGGCCCGCCCACAGCTCAGAATGGGTGGGAGGAGATGTGGAGGGGCTTATGGAAACAGGCCGGCTTCGCTTGCCACCATGGCATGGCTGCTGCTTGGGTGTCTTGGGCTCCGGGGATGAGTAGGTGCGGGCAGGTGGAGGTGGTGGGGAAGGGAGAACACCAACGCAGCCACCAGAGTGGAATGACCGGCAGTTCATTCCACGGAAACCGCGAGAGGTAGGCGGTGATGAAAAGTGTGGACCCGATGACTTGCTACGGGGACCAGGGTGGCGGTGATGGTGGTTGCGCTGCTCCGGGATAATCACTAGAGCCTGCATGTCCGGTTACGTTGTGGTGACAATGTCTGGGAAAGATGGTCGCTTTCCAATACACCTCAGGCTGCTTGAGGATGCAGATGACCCACAGTCCTGATGAAAGACAGACAAGCCAAGCAAGGAGATGAGAAGCTGCACTTTTAACCACACTTTCAGCATAACACAACCAAATCTAAACAAAACAAAGAACACCCTTAATGCCGCAAATGTCAGAATAAACCCGTAGAGAAATAGATGGTAACTGTCGCCCTCTTGGCCTCTCCCTAGAATTACACACATGGGAAGTATTGATGATACCCTACTGTGATTCAGTTGTAATTGAAACAAAGAGAGTAGGCAAGGATATCAAAGGTGCATTTGTATACACAAGAATCATTAGCATGAACTAGCCCAAACAACAAAGATGAACACTGTTAATATAATATCAACGGAAGTCTATAAAGAAAACAGATCGTGCAAAGCGACCCTTTTCTGACATTACACCCTTGAGAGAAATCACTGAAACCACACTGCAGTTCAGAGTAAGCATACAGCAGCAACGTATGAGAGTAAAGTTGCAGTTTGGATGAAAGGAACGAATAGCTAAGATGGCCTAAAAAATGAATTTCATCAGAAGGAAAGAAAAAGGAAGTTTGGGGGTGTATACCTTCCAGATCTAGAGCCGAGGAGCAAACCGGAGCCACCACGGACGACGTCGTCTCCGTCACGCGAAACCCCCGACGTTCCAATGCAGATCCACCCACGAACAAACTGCAAGCACGGAAACATCCGATGAGGAATCTCGCAAGCATAACCAAAAGGTACAGCCATCGACCACACTCCTCAAGCCCAACGAACCTGTAGCTCGAAGCAGGCCGCCGGATCTGACCTTTCTCGCCGAATCTCGCCACTTCCGGTCTTCCGGAGCGCGAAAACCAGGGGGAAACACCCCTTTGCGGCCAGGAGGCGGCGGCGGCGCGTCGATCCACGGGGCCCAAAGCCGGATCCCTGCTCAACCGCCGGCGAGAAAGTCCGCGTCGAGGTGGGCGGGGGCTTTGGGTTCGGCGAGCGAGTGAGAGGCCAAAGGGCGGAGGGGGGCGGACGAGCAAGAGCCAGGGGGACGGAGGGAGGGAGAAGTGGGGTGGGTGGGGGGATGGGGAAGTAGGGTAGGACGGCGTCGGACCCGAGGCGGCGGTTTCGCAGCGGCAGTTGATACAAGTCCGTTGCGTCCGGCTCGCGTGGGAAATGGCGCTGGGTTTCGGATTTGTGGGGTTATTGGGCCGAGACCGAGACAGACTTCTACAGCGAAAGAAACGGCCCACCTATTGCCCCTGCAATGGAAGGCCCGGCGTATATAAATGGGATGAACCCAAGATTTGTATATTCTGCTAAAAAAAACCAAGATTTATATATACCAATCCTCGTCATAGTATTTACATGGCGTACTTGTGTGGCGGCTCGATACATGAACTCTATTAGTGGTTTGCTGCTGAACTAAGGCGTTGTTATTTGATTTGGGTTCAATAATTATGTACTACGTAGTTATTTTATGTAGCAGTGTTGGTTTGGAATTATTTTTCTGATATAATGATTGTTGTGCGCGTGGTAGAACCAGCATAGGTCATGTCATCAAATAAAAATTTGACACATGGACAAACCAGTGAATGACACGTGTAAGAGCTAGGATATGACACATGGGCCAATACAAATCCAAGACATGGTACAAAACCATCCAGCCACGTTGTCGAATCTAAAAATGACGCGTTGGTAGTTTAGGGCGTGACACGTGGTCCACTAAGGCCCGTTCGGCTTACCCACAAGCCGGCTTGTTCGGCTTCTTTTTTCAGCCGAAACAATATTTTTCTCTCACAATAATTCAGTTAGAATAGTGTTTTTCAGCCAGGCCTCGTTTAGTTGGCGATTTTTTTTGGAAATGGTATTGTAGCACTTTCGTTGTTATTTGACAATTAGTGTCCAATCATAGTCTAATTAGGCTTAAAAGATTCGTCTCGTGAATTTCGTCTAAACTGTGTAATTAGTTTTATTTTTTATTTATATTTAATGATTCATGCATGCGTCCAAAGATTCGATGTGACGAGAAATCTTGAAAAATTTTGCAAAATTTTGGGAACTAAACAGGCATCCAGTTTTAGTCAAAATTCAGCAAGCCGAACGGGGCCTAAAACACTGACACGCGGGCGTACAACATCGCGATGCATGGTCGAATAAGAAAAAGACACATGGGATATCTTGCTCGCGCCACGTGGACCAATAAAAATACCACACATGGTCTAATGAAGAAGTGAAACCGGAGCTAATGGCAACATGACACGTATGCCAATAAAAAACTAACAAGTTGAACAACACTGATACAAAACGTGGTCCAGTAAAAACCTGAAATGTGCAAGAACAAGAGAGAGGCGCGTTGTCCAAAAAGAAGATGGCACGTGACCCGAAGCATCTCTAATGTAATCGGATATATCATCTACATGTGAAAGCATCTCTAATGGAAACACCCGCCACCGTGGCTAGCCCCTACCAACATATGCCAAAACAGTTCTACGACGGTAATTTTTTCGTCATAGATCAAACCACTTCTATTACGAGTTACTCGTGTTTGTCATATATTAACAAACACGACGCTCGCTTTTTAACTAACGAATTTTCATCATAAATTCGTCATAAAACTGAATTCACGACGAATATCACTTCTTCGGTGACGAAAACACATTCCTACTAGTGGTTGGTTGCCATTTTTCATTAAGGGCTCCTTTGGAAAGAAGGAAAAACATAGGAATTTTGAAGGATCCAAATTCTATAAAAAAACCTATGAAACCCTTTGGAATAAAGGAATGTTTCCCACCAATTCCAAATAAATTCATATGGATTGTGTCATTTCAAAGGAATTTTGGATGAAACTAAACATGAGCTTCAACCTCATTTTTTGTTTCCTATGGTTTTCCTACATTGCTTCCAAAGACATATTCTTCATGTAGGATTTAAAGTGTTAGTGCATTTCATCCATATGTTCTTTCTATTCCTATGTTTTGTAAATCCTTTGTCCCTAAGGAGACCTAAGAGGCAAGCTACATCCAGTATATGAAGAAGGAAGCTGAAAAGCAACTACAAAGACTAGGATGCTTGGGAATGGAGATGAAGAAGACATAGTGGACAGTGATACCATTGTTGAGAGGACTGTGACTAGCAATGAAGCTGATGGACACATTAGCAACAATGAGAAGCTGAAGAAGCAGTCAAATGCAGATCAATAGTTGTGTTAGATAACCTTAGAACTTTGATCAGTATAGGATATGATATAGCAAGGTAGTTGAGATGCATTATTTGTGTGTGTTTGGTAGGTGTAGGTGTGCTTCTGCTGCTGATGTCTGTTGAGATGAACAAGTGAAATGCAGATGCAATCGGTGGTGTATGTATGTTAAACTAGGAGAATGCCCCGCGTGTTGCTGCGGGGATTCCAGATAATTTAAAAAGAAATTAGACTATTTATATTTATAGTTATATGAATGAAACTATCTTAAATTAATTTTGGTGAATGATTTGACACATTGATGTGGACAGCTAAATGCATGTTAGTGGATGAAGAGATAATTATCATAATTGCATGTGTTAGTTGGCTATAATTGCAAGTTCTAGTGGATTATTGATGTGGATAGCTTGCATATTGAGAGAAATCTCTAGTGTGCAAGTTCTAGTGGATTGTTGATGTGGATAGCTTGCATGTTGAGAGAAATGTTTAGTGGGGTTTAGCTTTATAAGAGTATAGGATAGTGTCTATAAATTGTAGTGTTTGAATTGAAATGATGTGTTTGCAGCGATATCAATGTTATTGTCATGTTTACCATTGCTACACATGCTTATTCATTATGGACTGAACTTTGTGAATGCATGAATGCCAAATTCATCCAAGCCTAAACCAATACATGTAAGATGGGAATTTGAAAGCTAGGAGAAGAGAAGGATGAATAAATGAGGATTGGAAGGATCCCGGGATCTTCTTACAAAAATGAGGCATCGGCCGTGCGGCCATTGCCTGTGGCATGCCACGTAGGATGGAGTGGTATCCCAGCATGTGGAAGATATGGATTGGGATGAGATAACTTCAAAAGTTCAGGGAGCTGGGCATGCAATTTTGAAGTCTTAAAACACATGCATGAAATCACTTGTATGATTATGTTGTGCTTATGGCACATAGGCAACGGTATGGTTGAAATTACATATGATTTTGTTCTACTTACGTACAACACATATATACTTCTTATTAGTTTATACACAAATGCAACTTTGATTTCTTTTGCAACATATTGTTCCTAACTCAACTAAAATCATTTTTACAAGGGTTTTTGATTGGTACCATTATAGTTTTGCGAGTTCATTTAAATATCATTATTATTCACCTATTTGTAAGCATGCCATTATAATTCTTCAACAGCTTGAGTCGTATCATTTTCTATGTATTCGATAGCGTTGGGCCCACACACACGTGGCTATAGGGCAGTGTATTCTCGTATGTCCCAAAATACCCATGTGTTTCTTTCTCCCTCCACTCACTGATGTGTAGGCTCCATACGTCAGCTTCTTCTTCAACCTCTAGCTAGGCACGGTGTCACAGTCTAGACTCCAAAGGTCTCCAATATCCCACGGCGGTGGACTTCCCTATGCTGAGGTTGTGGCTAGTGTTGGGCCTCCTCTCATGCGTGGCCTCCCCTTTGCTCGTGGCGGAAGAGGTGGTTGGCGATAACAGGGGAGCGAGTGAGTGCATGGTGGATCTCCATGGACACGCCACCGAGGTAGGTGTGGGGGTATAACCCCCGATACCCACAAGGCTGTATATGGGCCAAGCCGTCAGGGAAGGCCTAGCCCATAAGATCAAGCCGCACACGGGG